CCAAGCATGTACTTACCCGAAATAGCTAAACCCAGATTCACATTCCTTGTTGAGACCAAGGGGATATGAGCCCTAACGTTGGGTTATTCAGCGTCACCTCTGACACGTGGTGGCGTCAGTGCAAGCACTAATACTACTACACTTCTGGTAGAGATTGAAGGGATATAAGCCCGGTGCTGACTTTAATCAGCGTCACTTTTGACTTACAAAACAGTCAGTAAAAGTAGCAGCAAATCTTATCACCCGCCTACACCCTAGTTAGTAGTATTATAAATAGCAGAAGTGATAGTAGTAGTAGTACCAGTCCTGGCTGACTAAAGTCTGGCTAAACACCTACTATAGGTGAGTGAGAGTAGACCGTGCAGTAGTACTCGCGCAAAGTCAAATGTCACTAAATACTAAGTTAGGCGGTGTTCCTGGCTGCGGCCTACGCCTTCTCCCTGCTCGGTCATGTCGACTTTGTCTTGTCACCGTTTTACGCAGTTGATAGGGTTTAGAGTGGGGTGGATGGCGGCGCGTCTACTTTCACTATACCTAACCACAGTCACCGTCCCTGCTCTCGGGCGAATGGTGGACATCATCGCTTGCGATGGTCGAACTAACGCAATGTGACGAGTAATCAGTCGAGGACGTTAGTGCTAGGTGAAGCAAACACCTGGTGGCCTAAGTGCTAATTTGACTTGATTAAAGTGTTGGACAGTTCATGCGTAGATATAGCAAACTTACCCATGGACGCCAGCAGTTAAGAACACATGTATTTGCCTTGCTGCTATTATGACTGCCTTGAGTGTCATCTTTAAAAAAAATTGCTTAGAAGTTCTAAAAACTTCATGTTCAGGCTGGTAGATCATTGTTATATTTTTTGTCCGACGAAGACTGATAGCATTCTGTTTCAAAGTTACTGCCCATGGGTATTTTTCGGTTGTACAGCCCCGACAATACTTTTGAAGACTTTTTGTCTTCATCGTACCCTGGCGTTGCGGCCTCCGGTGATGTTTAACTCCCTCTGAATTAATATGCATTCTACGAGGTTCGTAAAGCTTACCTCTTTCTACTGCTCCGTGTAGATCATCGACATTCGCGATGTCATCCTCGTTGGAAACACACTGGAGACCATGAAGGACGTGTAAGCGTGTTTTCCGTATCTACAGGCTTCATTCTATCCTGTAGGTACATAGTTCAGACTTTGATGGATACCGACTTATGCAAACTCTTGAAGGCCCAGAGACTAGCCAACGACCACATATGCTATTTCCTTTATCAAATTCTCCGAGGTAAGTTTTCGCTTTCTCAACGATTCACGATGGTGTGGTGTAGGTCTTAAATACATCCATTCTGCCAACGTTCTCCACCGGGACCTTAAGCCATCTAATCTTCTCATCAACGCAAACTGTGACCTTAAGGTGAGTCAATTTGCTTACGCGGCCCGTAGGAGAACCGCAAAAGTTTTCATGTTTTGCTGACACTACCTACCAAACACTTCAGGTTTTGTATCATGCCTGTGGGCTTTGTCTGCAATTTTTTAATCCATAGTTCAGCCCTTTAATTTCACAAGTTAAATCTTCCATTGGGACGTTTTGCGATTCTCTAGTTATCTTAGCTAAATTACTGCGCAGCTCATAGAGTTCAGCGCTGCTCTAAAAGTGATCACGGATCCTCGACTGCTTGATCGAACATTTTCGGTTTCTCCTTAATCTCGTTCCGTACATTGAGGATGGTTCCGGGGTGTCTGTGGAAGATGTGTGACTTTACAGACTTTTACAGCGATGCAATTATATGGATGCGAAACCTCTCCCAGTAACTTTGGGCTAAGAGATTCTCTTCTGGTTGCCTCCTACTTCCCGGCCTCTTTTGCGTCCTTTGAGAAGGACGATGGTGACATCCTTGAAGTTCTGAGAGATTTTTTCTTGTCTTTGTATCTCAAACACATTTTTCCTTCTCTTCAAAAGTTGTGGATCACCATATTCTTAGACTTCTCCAACGTTGAATGCGGCGTCCGGGGCTTTTCCATCTGATTGTTGTTGAACTCCTCTGGTTGTGTCCCAGTAGTGTCGTCGGAAGGTCAAGACCGATTCTGACTCTGACTTCTAAAAGCCGTTTGCTCGCTTCTGCGTGGACTAGAGATGACTGATCCGAAAGTTCCCAGCCCGGCAGTCTAAAATCTATCTTCTCCCTAAACGTTAGTATTATTCCGTCTAGAAGTATCGTGGACCGTTTTGACGACAGACTCTTCCTAATTGGTCTATTCCCCGGTGTCTTCCAGCTGTATTTGGGATCTGCATTTGGCGAATGCAGTTTAAATGTAGAGAGCCTTATTAGTCTGCCTTTCTTTATAAAGCTCATTCTTCTTAGAGAACAGATGTCAAATCTCATCTTTAAGCTTTCAAGGGCAATTTTGACTGGCCGCTCAGCGTACCTCCAAAGCTCTGCCGCACATTGCATCAATAAAGTGACCGTTTTCCTTTCAATTTTATTATATTCTTGGCACTTATTTTCTCCAGCTCGACAGCAAGTTCTTCTCCTGTTCAGGTGTGCGCTTTTAAGATTCTTCTCTTTCGCATTCCTAACACCATCTTTTTAGTTAGATCAGAATTTTCATCAGTTAAGTGAGTGGGCGGTAGTTAGTCCAAGATTGGTCTGACTGCATAATGCTTTCGTCAATTGCCCCTCCTAACTATCTCTCTTCCCAAAAAGTGTGAGTAGTGTCGTAAATGACAGTGTACTGAGCATGGATGCGTCTTGCGTGGGTGTTTTTGCATTTGGACAAGCAGAAGACTGTGCTCGTGATAACAGAAATCTGATCAACGCATATATTCTGGGGAAGTCTGTAATCATCGCCTCTGAAAGCATCATTATTACCGACTCCTACTTCCCGAAAAACCTGTCTCTTTTTTTTCATCGGATTAATAAAAGGGAGACTCGGTAGTTAGGACGGGAATTTTATTCTGATCCTATTGTCAAGGACAGCAGCAATATTTGTGGGACGCAGTCGTTGTGCATGCTTATTTATGTTAGCAGCCTCCTGCACTTGTTGTCAATGCTTGCACTGCGTGCGATAAGAACTTGATCGCGAGAATGCGGAATCTAAACTTGGAATGATA